TGCTTCATCACCAGGCTTAGTCAAGGGTGACATAGTTATAGAAACAATATAAGAAGAATATATTTCAATCCTGTATTTTACCATATTATTATATTTATGTGCTAATAAATATTTAGTCCTGTGGATTATGCATTATAGTTAGTGAAATATGAATGTCAAGTAAATGGTAAATCAACGTACAACTTCCAAATGAGGAAAGACTGTTTTCCTGACTAGAAACGGACCCTTCTGTTCACTTCTCATCTTAGTGCCGGTGCTCTAAAACTTCATAAGATAAGATTATACGTTTTGGGCAGTTGTCTTGTGGCTGGGCAGATATTTCTCTGTTACAGGCAGGCATAATTGGTCCATAATGGCTGACCATCCAGAAACATATATATACACGTTTAAAATTGGTTTTTGCTGCAACCTTAACAGAGACTTACCCAAATGATATAATTATATTGAAGCCTACCCCAGGTCCCTTACAATGGTGTCAGAAGTGGGATTGCTTTAATTTTCCCAAGCAATCCAGAGATACGAACCTAGATGTTACATAGCTCGATGTGATGGTAACCGCCCGCCACAACTTTTAAAAATGTGTAAATGTGTTAGTGTTGATTCTTTTCGTGATGTTTTTATTTAAAATCGTATTTTTGTAAAGATATGGCTGACAGTCCCGACCCAGAAATCTAGTTCCATGTACCCTCACCAGAATTTGGCCAAGGAGATGACTAGAATGACCATCATGACCATGAATATGAAGAAGAAAGAAGACTTCCTGTTACATTATGTCAACAAAATTGATTATCAGCGTATGGTGTTACAGACATTCAATGTTGGTTTGCTGGAGAAACTCCTATGGTGTGCCGTGTAGAATCTAAGAAGAAATTACCATACCTGCAAATTCAGGAATGTTTATACCTGTGGATATCCCCTTCTGTGAAAAATTGAGTGAGAGCTGTATGATTGAACAAACTGTACGACTGTTTGACGAGAAAAAGATAGCCATTTTGCCTGCCATACTACAAATTTCTACTGAAAACAAAGTTGTTAATAGATATAAGAAGATGTGGTATGAGTGCCAATGAGACAACTCTCTATCCAAGTCAAAATTTATAAAAGTAAACCATTATAGGTCACAGTACGGTCTTCAACGCGGAGGCTTGGCTCACACCGAACAGTAAGGTATAAAGGGCCCCCAAAATTACTAGTGTAAAACCATTCAAACGGGAAAACCAACGGTCTAATCTATATAAAAAACGAGAAACGAGAAATACTTATGAACCACATCAACAAACGACAACTACTGAACATCAGATTCCTGACTTAGGACAGGTGCAAACAAATGCAGCGGGTTTAAACTTTTAATGGTACCAAACCTTCACCCTTTTTCTGAAACAAAAGTGTAACACCACAACATAGAAAGACATAGTTAGTCTGCATACTTTTAATGATACTGACATCAAGATATATCCAAAAATGAAGTTAGGAGATTGTGCGAAGAACAGTATTGGTGTTTGTTGTACAGAGGTTTCTTTAGATGAAAATCCAGAAGCATCTAATTTACCAGAATATTTGAAAGAGTTATGGGAAAGAAGTTGCATTCATTTGAATGAAAACGAAAGTATAAATTTTGAAAATCTACTTAGAAGATACAATAATGTATTCTCAAAGTCTTCAGACGACATAGGAAGGACTAATTTAATCCAACATGAAATAAATACTGGAAATGTAGTACCAATTAGATGGCCACAAAGAAGACTTCCTTTTGGCAAGAGGCAGATTGAAAAAGATGAGATCAAGAGAATGCTGAAGTTAGAGTAATAGAACCCTCTACCAGTAGCTTGTCTTCACCTGTTGTTTCAATTGCCAAGAAAGGAGGCCAAGGCGGAACTCGTTTTTGTGTAGATTTTCGTGGCGTAAACGGACTAATGACAAAAACAATAGCCTCCCAATTCCAAAAATAGATGACAGCTTTGATGCTCTTTCTACAGCCAGTTTCTACGGATGTATGAACTAAAATAGTGGATTTTGGCAGCTGGAGATGAAAGAATCTGATAAAGAAAAGACAGCCTTTGCAACTAGCCAAGGATTATACCAATTTATTGTAATGCCATTTGGGTTAGCCAATGCCCCCAACAGTTTTCAGAGATTAATGGAGAGTGTATTACGTGGGTTACAGTGGGAGGAATGTTTATTATATCTAGATGATATTATTGTCTCTGCCTCTACAGTACAAAAATCAATCGAAAGAATTGAGCATGTGTTCCAAAGATTATTAGACGCAGGATTGAAATTGAAACCTTCAAAATGTATATTTTTTTCAGAAAAAAAGTCAAATTTTTAGGTCACATTATCTCTGAAAATGGTATTTAAACAGATCCAGAGAAAACAGAAGCTGTACAAAAATGGCCCAGGCACAAGAACCAGAAACAGATGCGCAGTTTCCAATTACTATGTTCCTACTACAGAAGATTCGTTCCCAAATTTGCTGAAATAGCCAGACCCTTACATAAACTTTGTGAAAAATTTGCTGCTTTCAACTGGACAGGTAACTGTGAAGAAGCTTTCACTAGGCTTAAAGAAGTTTTAACCTCACCCCCAATCCTAGGATATCCTATAATTGGATCTAAATTTATACTTGATACTGATGCTAGTGATAGGGCATTTGGAGCAGTACTTCCCAAGAGCAGGACGGACAAGAAAGTGTTATTGCTTACATGAGCAAAGCCATGACCAAACCTAAGCAGAGCTACTGTGGGACTCGCAAAGAATTATTGGCTGTTGTTTGTGCTCTTCGCTATTTCTATTCCCATCTCTATGGACAACCCATTTTAATAAGAACTGATAATTCTGCTGTCAGCTGGATGAGGAACTTAAAAGCACCAACTGGCTAAGTTGCAAGGTGGCTACAAGAACTTGGAACTTATGATCTTACAGTTGTACACCGGCCTGGTCTAAAACATAGGAATGCAGATGTACTTTCCAGAAATCCTTGTGCTTCATGTTCCAGACAAGAGAGTGTTAACAACGCCCACGACAGTTGTGATGAAGACTCTGAAGAAAAAGAACATTTATCAGTTAGAACAGTAACACGTAGTAAAGCAGATCAACAAGGAACCAGTTTGTACTTTTAGGGTAAGATATCAATACTTTAAGACAACAGTAGTTACAAGACACAATTGTTGGTCATTTATTCATTAAATTTAAAGACAAAGAGACAAAACCGGAATGGAATTCACTATCTGAGGAATCAACAGACCTGAAAACCTTATTGAACATGTGGGACAGATTTGAACTTTACAATGGAGTATTATATGTAAATTGGATTGATAATTTGGAACAAACTCACTTGAGACTTGTAGTACCTGAGCCTTACACAATTGCTGTTTTTAAATATAACCATGATATACCCTCTGCTGGACATCTAGGTATAGAGAAAACCGTGGTGAAGATTAAACAGCACTTTTACTGGCCCAGAATGAAAGTCTACATTCAAGATTATATTAGAAAGTGTGATAGTTGTGCCTCAAGAAAACCAGTGTTGAAACAAACTTCTAGAGCTCCTCTGGGAATTATAATGTTGGTGCCCCAATGGAAAGAATTGCAATTGACATCTTGGGACCCTTGCCAAAGACACGACTAGGTAACAGATTTTGTCTGGTTTTGACAGATAGTTTCTCTAAATGGACAGACGCTTGCGGAATTCCAGACCATGAAACAGCAACAGTGGCTCAGATATTTGTTAATGAATTTGTTTGTAAATTTGGTACCCCCTTGCAGATCCATACAGACCAAGGAGCAAATTTCAAATCCAAAATTTTCAAGGGAATGTTTGATTTGTTATGTATTGACAAAACCAGATCATCTTCTTTTCATCCACAGTCTAATGGCTGTGTTCAAAGGTTTAGCCGTACTTTAACGAATATGTTAAGTATGTACTGTGCAAAGACCAAGCTGTTTGGGATGAATATTTGCCTCAAAATTTACTTGCCTACAGAACATCAGTTCATTCAACCACTGGATTTATACCAAATTTCCTAACCTTTGGAAGGGAAGTAACTCTTCCATTACAAGCTGTAATTCCAATGACTTCCCGAGCCCAAGATTATACTACATGTAAAGAAGACTTTGTTATAGACCTGCAAAATAGATTACAAACAGTTCATGAATTAGCCCGCAAGAATTTTAAAAACAAGGTCCACTATCAAAAAAAGTATTATGATGTAAAATCAAAGAAAAGGATGATTACACTGGAACAACGAGTGTGGATGAATGACCCAACCCGGAAAATTTATGTATGTTCTAAACTAAGTGCTAAATGGAAAGGACCATACATTATTATTAGATGTATGGATGACACTACCTATATTGTAAAAAAGACTGCTAAGCAGATGGCATAGCCTACCATGTAAATAGACTAATACCATATGAGGGACAAAAGCTGCCTGTGTGATTGTTGAATTTATTTTATTGTTACTCATGAATTGGTGCCTTGTAATTTTATGCCTACGATGAGGTGTAAAAAGGAAGTTAGGCCAACCAGGTGTGGACGTATTTCAGTTTTTATTTTGGTTCTTCAATGGACGCATTGATGTTTTGATATATAACATGTGTGTTTTTTTAACAATCTTGGTGATGGACGCATTGTCGAGAGGCGGATACGTCAACTGGAAAGGGCTACAAGGGACTGGACTGGCCAACCATGAAATTGGTAGTTGCTCTGTGGTTCCACAGTGGTGAGCCACGTCCTTTGCGGGCAAAGGACTTGTACTGATACGTCAACTGGATTTGGTATTGGAAATTATAAAATGTGTCAAGGCTGTTTAACCATGTATAAAATAATGCACTTGCTTGTTAAGAACTAAGAACTAAGATGATGTGGTCAGTGTCCTGTCAAGACTGGGGATTCCTACTGTTTACCAAATGATTCAATAAATTAGTGTTCATGTGCTGAGTACTATCATAATATAATATATAAATTTACTATAAGAAAAAAAAAACACACAACAAACAAAAACCAAGTCAAGATGTTTTACTTCAACAAAGACATTCATTTGATTAAATGAAACGAGTTAATGTGCATATATCGTCCATTACGCAAACTGTCCATGTATTATATATTATGGTCAACTGTCCAGAGTTAAAAGTTTTTCTGTGCATCTCTAAAGTGTTTCAAGGATACACGACTGGAGTAACCCGACCGTTCAGCTACAGCACCATTCAAATAATCTTCATACCTACAAAACAAATTAAAAGAACAATGTTAAATATATATCTAGTACTAATAATTATCTATATACAAGTTATACAATATACATATATATATATCAAATGTGACCCCACACTTACAGAGATGTTCTGTTTTCAGATGGAAAAAGAATGCTGGATATGTCCAGAAAAGTTTGACATCACCAAACAGCTGAAATTCCATTTAGCAAGTAGCTTATATTCAAAGATGGAGGTGTTGTGTCCAATTTGTCTGGACAGGTCAACTAAATGTAAGAGAGTCTGGGAGTTGAAGGACCATTGTAACCGGTTCCACAAAACAGCCATGCAGGACATTAGACCGGACGCACTTTCTGAAGAGAATGCTTACTACCTTGCTGTGCATCCGGCATGTTACAGGAAGGTAGTTAGGCCAACTGCCTTTTACTCACCATCAGCAAGAGACCTAAAGAAAGCCATGCAGGCATGGCTGAAGAAGTCAAAAGATACTTACAGGACGCCTGTAGAGTGGGAGCAGGGATGGAAGGAAGGAACAAAATTTGATGGGCCTCCAGGTTAGGAACTCTTCCAACCAGTATATTCCGGGGATGAGACACGGGCGGCCTCATCCTCTTCCATGGATATGGACATAACTAAATGTGATGCCTGGCGCATAACCTATGTGGCACTGGTGCCACAGATTATCATGGCAGAAGCCGTTTTTGGAAGAGAAACCTATCGATTTGCCATTGCGGATACATTGCTGACAGATGTCAAATATGTATCTGCATTGATAAGGAAAATGCTGGCCATACCGCAGGGAGATAAACAATCCGCTGGACGGAAACACAAGTTGCTTTGGAAAACATACAGTGACAGAGTAACGCTGGCCGTGAAATTACTAGGACTTACAGAAAAATACATAACCAACATTCATCGTTTAGAGAGTGATTTTTATACTTTACCATCAACAGAACTTTTTGCTTCTCCCACTAAAAATCCAGTAATACTCAAAAAGAAAAGCAGTTTGAAACCAACTATTTCGACCAAGAAGTCTTCGAAAATTTCATCAACAGTCAGTAAGAAAGCAGAAAAACCATCCATCAAATCATCGTCAAGCAACACACCATCCTCTGCACCAGTGACAGTTGTACCATCAAGTTCAAAGACCTCTTCACCTAAACCATCAACACCGCCTACAACGCCGGCCGTTACCTCAAATTCCTTAGCACTATCTCCAATTTCTACCGGATCATTCTCAACAGCTATGCCACCTGTACCTCCCCCAGCAAAGAAGCCAAAGATTTCGACAATACCATACACCCCTGAAAAACCAACTCAACCCGGACCGACGTATATCACTAGACCAAAACAGTTGCTGTTGACAATAACAACAGAAGATGTTCCTAGTATAGAGCTCCGGACGCCTGCTGAGCGGGCAAATTCTCTTCTAAGTCTTGGTGGAATGCCATTATTCCCTCCAGCACGGCGGGACTGGACTGGGGAGGTTCAGGTAAAACTTCCTGGAGATGTTCTCACCATGGACAGGCCTCCTCGGGGCTGGAAGGAAATGACCCCAGACACCAGGAAGCTAAACTGGAAATTTATCGCTTTCCAATATGAGCAGGTCCAATAATAAAACTGTACCTAGTCGAGCAGGACTCCTAGACAAATATAATATGTTTGCCTTACCGGGAACCTCACCACACAATAAAATCAAAGATCTTAGCTGAACCATTATGAAGAACCGCTACTATATGTACGAGAATTTACGACTAATTGCCATCGAAGGGATTAAGCCGGATTTTTCCACTACTTTTATGCTGGACATGCTTGAGAAAGCAAGCGCTAGTCGCAATAAAACCACAGACCATATTTGCCATGCTTTGGATAAGGCTGGCATTCCTTTGAGATTAGACGCTTAAATTTGATTCATAAAATATTGCTGGACATTATATGAGAACACTATATCAATTATTTTGGACTTTAAACAAAAACAAATACCGTCTGTTACTGCAGATACAGAAGATTACAGATTATGAAAACTTGAGTATATGAAATCTTCAATGTGACAATGGGGGTGGATTTTACTTGATATTAAAATTTGTTATATGATATGCATTTATGATATATATATGTATAAGGATTTCTTGTGCAGCACAAATCAGGCATGCAGTGGCCTAGCATATGTTAAACGAGTAAGATGATATCAGCTGGGTCTGATATCTTAAGTGAACTCAAGGCTTGGAGTAGGTATTCTTGCTATACATGTAACAATTTGAAGTCGAATGGACAGACAACATAAATGGCAATATCTTTCTTTATTTAACAATGGCTGATCGTACTGTATGCATTGAGTTGTGTTGAACAAGAAATGAGTGGTGTTATATTTATTGAATTCAGGAGTATTCAACCACTTTAAGGTGGGGAGGGTGTAATGTGCAGAGTGTTACCCCCTGACATTTTTTAAATTATTGGAAATCCACATTTCCTTTTATTTTTCATGTTTTGCCAATTTACAAGTTCTTGTTGATAATGTTTGGCTAAGGCCCTTTATTATGTTAAGATATTTGGTAAGTTTGCTTGCTGCAAGCCAGGAAATAGTTTCAATGGAAATATTTCATTATTTGTTAACTTGTTCATAAGTTCAAAGTTCATCATGTTTGTTGTTTTCTTTTCATAAATTTCACAGGGCTTTAAATCATATAAAAGTAAAGGTCGTAGAACTTCCACGTTTAACTGCTGCTTTATGTTTTTGTAAAGTAATCATTACATATTTAAAATAAGAAGTAAACATAATTCTATTGATTCTCAGCTGATCGTAATCGATCACCATGTAAACAAAGTCATATGACCGTCTAGACGTCTAGGAATTCGTCTGCTATGTATTTTCTTTGAGATTTAGTATTTTTTGCAAGATCAGTAAACGTGGAAACCTAAATTTCAATTAACAATTTCCTATTAAAATTATGTATCTAAATGATATGAATGTGTCGCCCTTGGGTTATTTTTGCACTAAGCCTGTTTACAATGTGATTACGCCATTTTTGTATCAAAGCGCTTTACCCCAAATCATGTTTTGCTTGCCCAATTAAAATTTACAAAATGTACGACGTTCTAACCTATAGTCCCGCTTTCCTTAAAGTCATAGCTAATAAAGCACCACATCCGGGGAAGCTGTTAACTCTTAAGTAACTCCAAATTCATGAAAGTTCAGGCAATTGCCCGGCTCAACTTGTCCCACAATTTTTGTTTTCATCGTTACGGTTGGCCAATACATGTCACGTGACATATATATTTTATTATATAGCTAGCGCTGCTTTAATAATATGGCGAATATCTGCGATGGTGGGTAACTTCAAAATCCAAATATATTAGAGTTATAATTATTCGCAAGGAAATAACAACACAGTAGAGGTATGAATATTTATTATAATTTTTTATACCATATTGAACTCAGCACATGAACGTACAGAATTTAAATGGGAAATAAGGATAAAAACCGGCTATCAGTTCCTACCTTGTCCAGTTGCCCCAGAGTTTTGACAATGAAATCATGCAGTTATTCGCCATCACATCGACCTTTTTAACCACAAATAATTAACAAGAGACCATTAATTAGGATTTCACTAAAGATAAACTGTTATTTCTGGCTTGACATAATTAGTTATATGGATGTGCCAATTGTATGGTATTTGGATGTTCCAGTCCCAATTTGATTGATTGATTGATTGTTGGTTACTTAACGTCCAGTGGCAAATATTTCATGCATATTCAGGACGAGAACAAATTAACAATAAATACAATTGGTAGGTTCTGTAATAGGGGCTTTCGGGATTAAGGTCAGAGAAATTTAGATGGCCACGGGAAATGAGGGTATATTGGATAGGGACAGAAATTTAGCCTTGCAACAGGTCACCTACGGACCCCTCAAAGAGTTGTTGCAAGGGTTCTTAACGTGCAAAGAGCGTGGCACTCTCTTTACACGAGGCATCGGATTTAACGTCCCCATTCTGACCGGACGTGGCTGCAAATTTGTACATCCCGCACAGCCAAACGGACGCCCCACTTTAGCACGGGTTTTACTGCCGGTCGGAGGAAGACCAATGGTGACCATACTTCTATTCCCCAGTCACCCTTGGGGGTAGTCCCAATTTGAAGCCGGGCTCCAAAGTTATTGTGAAACTGCCTATTCTAGAGGTGGCGTGAATCAGATGTGGATACTAAAAAATTCCAAAGATCTTTTAGAGTACATACAATCTAAGACTCTCTCATCTTGCAATAGTATTCAAACATTTGACTTTTCTACACTTTACACAAGTATTCCCGGGGGGGGGGGGGGGGGGGGGGGGGGGGGGGGGAGGGGGGATAAATCCTACTTTGTAAAGAATCACTCTGATTCAAACAAAAAATTCTCTGAAACTGACATTATGAAGATACTTGATTTCTTATTAGACAACATATTTGTTAGACTGTCGGAATTGCAATGGGAACCGATTGTGCCACCCTTCTTGCCGACTGGTTTCTTTATTATTACGAGGCTGACTTCATACAGGAACTTCTTAGGAAGAAATATAAGAAGTTAGCAATATCCTTTAACTTTAAGTTCCGCTATATAGATGATGTTCTCTCACTAAATAATACAAAATTTGGTGACTATGTTGAACGAATATATCCCATCGGACTAGAGATAAAGATAACTACAGATACAGTTAAGTCTGCCTCATATGTTGAGTTACATCTCAAAATTGACAATGAGGGTCGGTTGAAAACAAAACTTTACGACAAAAGAGATGATTTGAGCTTCCCAATTGTAAAATTTCCATTTCCATGTAGCAACATTCCAGTAGCGCCTGCATACGGAGTATATATCTCCCTTATTGATACGGTATTCCCGGGTTTGTGTTTCCTATCATGATTTCCTTGATAGAGGATTGCTGCTCACAAGGAAGCTTTTAAACCAAGAGTTCCAAATGGTGAAGTAGAAATCATCCCTTCGTAAATTTTACGGTAGCCATCACGAGTTGGTTAAACGTTATGGAATAACCGTTTCACAAATAATATCGGATATGTTCCTTATGTCGTAACTACAATACCCTTCCCTTTTCACGAATGTGACTTACCGAATTAGACTATTTATCGGATTTGTAATAAAATAAGCAACACGACGGGTGCCACATGTGGAGCAGGATCTGCTTACCCTTCCGGAGCACCTGAGATCACCCCCAGTTTTTGGTGGGGTTCCTGTTGCTTAGTCTTTAGTTTTCTATGTTGTGTCATCTGTACTATTATTTGTCTGTTTGTCTTTTTATTTTTGACCATGGCGTTGTCAGTTTGTTTTCGATCTATGAGTTTGACTGTCCCTCTGGTATCTTTCGTCCCTCCTTTGGATGTGCCATCACAATCTTAAATATAGATTTTTCGTACCCTAAATTATACACGCTTCATCACCAGGCTTAGTCAAGGGTGACATAGATATAGAAACAATATAAGAAGAATATATTTCATTCCTGTATTTTACCATATTATTATATTTATATGCTAATAAATATTTAGTCCTGTGGATTATGCATTATAGTAAGTGAAGTATGAATGTCAAGTAAATGGTAAATCAACTTACAACTTTCAAATGAGCAAAGACTTTTCCTGACTAGAAACGGATCCTTCAGAGTAATCATCTTAGTGCTGGTGCACTAAAACTTCATAAGATTAGGATTATACGTTTTTGGCCGTTGTCATGTGGCTGGGCAGATATTTCTCTGTTACAGGCAGGCATAATTGGTCCATAATGGCTGACCATCCAGAAACATATATATATACACGTTTAAAATTGGTTATTGCTGCAACCTTTACAGAGACTTACCCAAATGATATAATTATATTGAAGTCTACCCCAGGTCCCTTACAATATTAAAAACTTCCAAACTCCACAGCAGTTTATAAAAAAGTGTAAACTGGCTTTAATTAGGTTATTTCGTATAACATGTTCAAAAATTAGAAACATTCCGTATAATTCAATTTCTAACGATTCCAGTCAATCAACGTTATTGACGTCACAATACCAAACCAGGTTATGCAAATTAAATTATTCATTTATTTATCTGATTTTGTTTTAAAAACTATATCAATATTACTACATTCTAGAATCTTTACTCCTACAAAAATGTTCAAACATGTTTCAGATAATGTTCGTATATATAAACCTCATAAAAAATAATCAGAGCACTTTCATTGCTAAATCTTACTACTTTTCATTTATCAAGGGGCATAACTAAAAATGTAGTTAAGAGACATTTTCAAACTTGTCAACAGGTTTTCAGTAAATGTTGATTTAATATGGAAATGCAGTTACAGTTTTTAAATTTATCAAGTTTCCAAATAAGTGTATGAGTAAAGCTCCTTTAACAACTTTGAATTTCTTGACTTCAGCTTTATTTGTCTTATATAACTTAATTTTTTGTCAAATCTTGAGTTTTATGTGAATAAGTATGAAATTCATCCTTGATAGAAAATGTATGTAGGAATTATGCCCTTAGTAAATCTCAAACATTGGCATGATTGGGGAAACATTGGAAGACTGTTGAATTTGGAAATTTAACTTTCAGTGGTACGAAAGTCAAAGATCTTTTGAATAGCGTCCTTGTTGGTAGTGACTCTCACATTTCCTTGATTAGATTGTTTTGATAAAACTGACTTCAGTCCATCTAATTCATTTTTTTTTCACAGCGATACTTAAGTAGTTAATTGTTCTAATCTTAAATTAGATCTTGAAGCCTTCAATGCACGGATTCTAGAAATTGCTTTGCAAATAATTGCATTTTTTAGGTTGATTTGTTGACGACTGAATTCTTTGGGGTAATTTTCTGAAAAAAGTAAAGCCTGTATGTTGTCTTTGATATTTCCTTTGGATTGAACTAGTCTATATAAAACTTTGGTATCATCTACTGCATTTTGAGCAACATAGGTTTCTCCTAAAAGTTCATCGAACAAAGCGGTCTGACTATATGATGGTCTTTTTAGATATAATAGTTTGAACAGTTCCAAAGTACCAAAAAAGCCACTTATGTAAGATGAAAATTCATTCCACATATTATATGAAATCTTAGGGTATTGTACAACACGTGGCAATCAAAACGTTTGATATTGTGGCGAACAAGAAGCGGTTTGACAGGGAAACTCTTCACAAAATCATTGAAATCAGTAAATGCCACGTTCTGTAATTTTGATTATTCTATTCTCTCAGGATTCCCTTGGTTCTGTGACAGAGTATAAGTTAGAATAGTTCTTCAAAATACTGTTAATAACCATTGTTGAAAGTTCCTTATGCTTCAATTAAATGAAGAACAGTTTCCTACTTGCATTAATCATTATATGGTTTCGGTCACTGCTATTAAGTATATGAGAATGTGGAAATAATTTAGAGGCTCTGCTAAAACCAGTCGAATCATCATTTCGTGCTAATTCTCTAATTTTGACACCTCTATTGTCCAAGTCTTTTATCATTTTAACCACCATATCTGGTGAAATGCCCTTGGCAGATCCAGTCCAGTTTATGTTAAAGGGGTGGTATTCCTTTTTTCTGTGCAGTTGTACAAATGTGACATCTTTTGCAACGAATTGAATGGCGAATTTTTTAATTTTTTCCTCCAATTAAGGTTGCAACCCCTGAAATTTAAGAAGAGAATTTTTTAATGAATATACATGCCACGTGAAAAGGTTTTATCTCCGTGTTTTAAAATTTATTAGATTTCAATTCCTACATACAGTGTCTAACCAATTTTATGAAATTCTGTTCAGTAGTTTCAGAGGAGACAAACTGCTTCAGTAGTATATTTTTGGAAATTTCAAAGGCCAAAGAGGTATAACTCCCTCACAATTTTTAGGATAAAAATTGTCTGGTAACATGACTAGATGTGGTTTCCTTAATACTTTCTAAATTTCATGAAAATGTGATGAGCAGGTTCAGAGTAGTTGTGCAATCAAACTGTATGACGGACAGATGAACATGACAAAGAAAATAGGTCTCCCCATCAAACCACCAGGTTCCCTACAACAAAAGGAATGCAAGATTTTTGAATTAAGGGTCAAATTGTTCAAAAGCAAACGTTTTTCTGGTTTACGGACAATTACTTCAAAGTGTATGGACCTTTTAAC